CTCCTAATAGGAGGGTTTGAGTAAACTGAGTTTCCTGACAGAAAGGCTAGTAGGAAAAAAAAAAAAAAGGACTCACAAATAAAACAGGCCTCGGCTCATAAAACCAATCGTGTTCTGTGCGTGCGTGCGTGCGTGCGTGTATTGCCAAGGACCAAACCCAGACTCTTACTCATACCCGGCAATCCCTCTAGCAATAAGATACATTCTTGCACACCAACCCCAGCTCTTAAAGGATAGTTGCTCAGTCTGCATTAAAATCATGTGTTCAGTGACCCTAGAAGGGCTCAGTACTGATTACTGACAAATTCATCAGTGACCACACCTCTAACTGCAGGTAGTTCCATTATTTCAGCATCTGTTTTTTCAATTACTGTGAATCTTCACTATGATCATAAATTTTTTATAAAATTTATTTAGGTCACAATCAACCAATGTGTGTTTTTTATACACACAACTGTAAACTAAAAACACACTTGTACACATACATGTACTGTTAAATGTCTGACAGGATATTTTATGCAAATAGGAGTCTAAAAGTAAGGTGAATGGCATTTTAAACTCTGGAAAAGAACGCTGTAAGTTATACTCACGTCAGGAAAGTCCAGAGCAGGTGACTGCTCTTTCAGTCACGTGATGGCCACAATCTGTCTAACACTGTTTTATTATTTATTTATTCTTCATATATATTTATTGTATATGCGCTTGTACAAGCACCCATGTGCCACGGCAGAAATCAGAGGACAACTCCCTAGAGACTTGTTTCTCTCTTGCGACCTGATGGGATCTGAGAACTGAAGTCTGGTCAACAGTACAATCCCTCTCCTATGTGGCCCCAAAGCAACAGACTGAAAACACGCAGGAAAACACAGTGAGCAACGAGACTGTCCTGTGGCCTCAGTCTCTTTCTCATGAGAGCCAGGGGCTGGAGAGACGGCTCAGTGGTCAAGAGCACTTGCTACTCTTGCAGAGGACCCGGGTTCAGGTCCCAGAACCCACATGGCACAACATCTATAACTCTAGTTCCAGGGGACCCGATGCCCTCTTCAGGCCTCTGAGGAGACCTGGCACACATACAGTGAACATACATATATGCACGCAAAACACTCACACACATAAAAATAAAAACAAATAAATCTTAAAGAAAAATAGAAATTGGAGCTTCAAGTTCTCATTTGCTCTAGTGGAGCCTGATAAACACGTAACTGCACAAAATCAATCTTGTAAATATTAGCCTGGCACACAGACTCATCCTAGTGGGTCTCTATCTTTCCTCTTGCTGCATTCCCTTCTCTTTAAGGAATCAAATGGACCACGCTTGCTCCTTCCACCCTCAGCCGGAACTGTGAAGCCTGTATATTAGGAACGTAAGTACCTTGTTCACGTAAGAGGTTGATGGTGGGTCTTCCTGCTGAGCGGGAGTGCACATTTCTGTTTAACAACAACAGAATTCCTTTGAAGTCTTTTACATAGGAAAAGACTGTTTTTGTTGTTTTAAAAATAATTCAGGAGGCTGGAGAGATGGCTCAGCGACTCTTGCAGAGGACAAGGTTTGGTCCCCAGCACCCACATGGCAGCAGCTGGTTAAGAGCTCTAACTCCAGTCCCAGGGGATCCAGTGTCCTTTTCTGGCCTCCACAGGCACTACAGACACACGGTCCACAGACACACACGCAGGCAAACACCCAGACACACAAAGAATGGATTAAAAAAATAACTCAGAGGAAAAGGGATACAGCACTCATTTCAAGAGGACCAGCTGTTACAGAATTTGCTCTGTAGTTATAGGCAGAAAGATAGTTCACCTACAAAGGCACATTTAGTCTTTTGGCCAATTGGACCTGTCTGATCAGGACCTGTCTTTGTTCTTCCTTCTCTTCATCAGTGCCTGCAAATCTGGGGGAGAAGTCTAGTCCCACCTGTAACAGAAAGACAAAAGATCATGGCCTCTCCATGCGTGAGGATGAGCTCAAAGAGACATAAGTCAGCACACAGACCACATGCACCACTACACAGCAGCCACAGGAAATGTTAGCCAAAGTAGATACAAGTAACTTTAGCAGTCTACTGGATACACCCCAACTTCTAAGTTGTTTTGTTTTCCTCTTGTGGGGTACTCTAACTCTAAAGCTCATCGTGTATGTCACACATCTCAGTTTGGCACAGCGACATTGCAAGTCTTCAGAAGTCACACATGGTCACTGCACTGGGCAGCACAGATTACAGGCGACCATTCCCATTGATGCTACTGGGGCACGTAGTCTATGACCTCTATTCAGAATGTGTTTTCTTAGCTTTTATATTTAGTAGGAAGTAGAATTTTTTAAATAAAATTTAATAGAATTTTTAATAGAATTTAATTAAAATTCCTTACCATTATTAATAATTTAAGTAACACAGTCTTTAATCACAAACTCAAGATTAAAGTATGCCTTTATGTTACTTATAAAGGTTGTTTGTTTGTTTGCTTTTTGAGACAAGGTTTCTGTACAACCACCCCAGCAGTTGTGGAACTTGCTCTGTGGATCAAGCTAGCCCTAAACTCACAGGATCCGCCTGTCTCTGCCTCCCAAGTGCTGGGATTAAAGAAATGGGCCACCACCGCCCAGCACTGTTGATGTTGTTTCAATTACATTTATTGGGTGGAGGGACACACAGGGATGCCACAGTGTGGTGAGATCAGAGGACAACTTTCAGGAGTCAGTTCTCTCCTTCCACCATGTGGGTCCAGGTTCTCAAGCTTGTTGGCAAGTGCTTCCACCTGCTGAACCATTCCACTGGCCCTCCCTCTACAGACTGTTTTAGCTTCTCAGAGCAATGGCCACACTTAAGCAAAAGCAGTCTTTAGAAATATTACTACATCATCATCTCCCATTAACATAAGTCTAGAGTAAGACTTTCTATTGCTTCATTCCCAAGAGTATCAAGTTATTAGCAGGCTGAACTGGGTGAAAAACTATCCAAGTTGGTTATAATCACTAGTACTGATTAATACAATTATCCCATGAAGATCTGGATTAGACATCATCTGATCAGCAAATGGGTTTACCTCTCCAATTGCCAACAACCGATCCTTGTACTTCTCAATAATAGGCAAAGCTACATCCAAATCCTACGAGGAAAAAAACTGTATTAATGCTGAGAGTAGGAATAATAGTTCCTTATTTAGAACCATGTGCCAGGTCCTATGCCATACTGGTACCTCACACAACTGAATCCATTTAACTAACCTATGACATAGGAATCATCGTCTCCATCAAGTCAGCAACTCTAACTAGAAATATGAGTAGGAACATCCATCCACACATGTTCTGGTTACAAGCCCACCAAGATCCCACTTATACTTGGCCTTCTGCTTAGGAGGTGTTTCCTCACAGATTTGGAGGAACCTGGAGTGGAAACTGTGATCTGAAGTTCCTGGAGTGAGGGAGACCTGCTCCCTCTTTTCCCCCAGGGTACTCTTGAGGAGGGAGAAGTGAGAAATATGTAGATAGAAATATAGAGGAGAAAGACAGAAACACAGGATAGCTCAGGAGGTCCTGGGTCAAAACCCACCTGCCTCTTCTGTCCTTCTGTCTCCACTAAAGGGCTTTTACAGGAATGCCAAGGGGTGGAGCAAAAGACCTCCCCCAGCACAGCCAAGCAGACCACCCCAGCACAGCCAAGCGGACCACCCCAGCACAGCCAAGCGGACCATCCCAGACACCTGGTGACCACACATGTGGTCAAGCCATCCCCTAATGCAGCTCTGCTGTGTAAAGCAAGTTCAGATCTAACTAGGAAACCTTTGTGGGCTCCCACAGGTCCCTCCTCTTAATTTTTTAAAGACCCCCTCAGGCCCCATCAGATAGACTGAGGTCTGTCTTAGGTCATTCTCCTTGATTATTTCTTCCGTTACCCATCATGGAGATATGCTTTCCATCAAGCATACTCTGTCTTAGGCTGGAAGCTATGAAGAGAAAGTTGCCCATTACTGACTCTCAGCCTCTGGCAGGAGGGAGTACTGAGCTTAACTTAGCTTTGGCCCAGGTTCCTACTGAGCTTATAACCATCCACAGCAATCTCCATAGCTGCCTCACTTCCCAGTACAGGAGTAGATAATGATAGAGATGGCGTATCTTTTTTGGAATGGGTGTTAAGATGTCTATAACAGCCTTAGCTGTGCCAAGCCCTTTTTAAATCAATGAACTCTTGATGCAAAACACATCAGATAAATTACATCAACTTAAAAGATTCCCTTAGGTTCTTCCAAACTCTGGCTTATAACATCAACATAATTTTAGTATAAACGTCACATATTTACAGCTATCATGGCCATTTACTATATGTATTTACACTTCTTACAAACTTACATCACTATATATATATTTAAACTTACATTTTATAGGACTACTTTATAAACCTTAACATCTAGAAGAGATCTCTGAACTATTATCACTATACATATTTACACTTTTTACAAGCTTACTTATGTATATTCAAGAGGAAACTCGATAGATCTATATAGACATCTAGAACTAACTTATACTAGCAAGCATCTAGAAGAGATTTCTTAACATTTAGAAGAGATTTCTTAGAGAACTATTTACCAAACTTATATTAAACTATTAGCAAACATCTAGAAATAATCTCTTAACAGAACTAACCCATCAAACATTTAGAATAGATTTTTACATTATCTTCCAACAAGACAAAGAGCAATTTTCTTTGGACTTCATTTAGAAAGTAGAAATAGTGCTGCTGCTAAAACTTTTAAAAAAATTCTATTGAGAGCTCAGTTTACAGCAGGCCCAAAAAGGCAGAAAAGAGACGAGGAGAAAAACCTCCTAAGGAACACTCTGTCTCTGAACTGCTCAGCTGGCAGCTCCACAGCAGCCAATTTCCCATCAGGAGAAGATAATTGTCTAAGTTGGAATGGGGTTCCAGACCTGCAGCTTTTAGCAGGTGCCCCTGTGTACCAAAAACATTGCTGAAACTTCATCCCAAACTCCTCAGCAGCCTGGAGGCCTCCTTACTCTCCTACGGTCCCCGGACTGCAAGATGGAACCTCAATGTCAGCAGAACTGTGTCAGCTCCTTCTCACCCCAGTTCCTCTGGAAGAGTGCCATTGGAGCTGACATTCCTCTGTTCCACACTCCCACCAAACTCTCACACAATTTGCCCCCTTCTTAATTTTTTTAGAGCTGCTGTAAGTTTACCATGAGTGTTTTTAAATGATGTCAATGTTTCTCTCTTGAATCTTAAGCACAACTCAATCTCGTAAGCTTTTTTTCACACCTGAAGCCATCTCCCAATGTAAGGACCATTTTCCCTTGCTTTCTAAAGGGTTTTTAAATGACTTGTTGATAAACAGTAGTGTTTTAATTATCTCCTGTGAGGCAAGCTGTTTGTTTGCTTTTAGCTTTTTGGGAAGTAAATCTAAGCTTTCTAGCAGTGCTTAGGAAAGAAACTTCACTTTCAGCTGGGGGAAAAAAAACGGTTTTACGGGCAGTGCTACCATTTTTATCTGAAAAACTACATTTCCCATAATGCATTTCTCTATATTGGCCTGCTGTTATGAATGACATTATGGACTATGTTTGGCACAACTCCTTTTAAGTCCACCACTCCCGTTTCCCTTTACATGGCCAAAGTCAAGCTTCTGCCTTCAGCCCAGGAGGTCTGAGTCAAGCTTTTTGCTTTTTCACCACAGGAGATTGGGAAATGTGGGGCAAACATGAGCTACAAAGATGGTGCCGAGAGGAAGTTAGCCCAAGTTGTTTACACTAAGATTAGATACAAATGATGCCGAGAGGAAGTTAGCCCAAGTTGTTTACACTAAGATTAGATACAAATGATGCCGAGAGGAAGTTAGCCCAAGTTGTTTACGCTGAGATAAGATACAAATGATGCTGAGAGGAAGTTAGCCCAAGTTGTTTATGCTGAGATAAGATACAAAGATCAGGAGATGATGTCAGTGCATAAACAGCTCCTAAACAAGGAAATGAGTATAGGGTGGCCTTTAAAACAATTGGTTGGTTCCTTCCACTCCCTCTTAGGGTTCTTTTGCTATAAAAGAGGCTTACTGCCTAATCAGAGGTGACTGAAGTTCCTGGTGGGGCAAAACCCCACAGGGAGACGTCTACTCTCCCTGAGCTGGTATTGCTAGGTGTTTTTCCTTCCTGATACTGTCCCCAGAACTGAATTATACCCGCCTGCTAATGCACTCATATTCGGGCAGGTCCTTTTGTGCCAAAAGCAAAATTCCCTCAGGGCTTGCTCTTCTGAGTTACTGGGTCAGTGAAAGAAAGTGAAACTTGAAACAAAACTTTTTCACAGCCTTTTCTGAGAGACATTTTCCCTGATAGACCTCTGTCTTGTCCCCACTTGTCTCCTCCCCAAACACAGAGTCCTTGAGGCAGCCAAGGCTCAGCTTTACTGCTTCCTCTTCTACAGTAACCCTTCCCCAGTTCCCACACCACCTCTGTCGGGGTTCCACCTTGGGGAATCTGTCCCTGCTTCGGCTCGGCCTGCACTTTCTCGACAGGCCCTTGCCTCAGGGAGCTCTGGCTGCTGTTTTTTATTTCTAGTTTAGAGAGACAGGGCTTAGCAGAGAAGATTGGTCCAGTTCCAAGAGGTCTTTTTGTTTTCTTAAAACCACAGGCGGTTTTCCCATAAAGTTCCAGGTGAATCTAATTTTGCCTTTACAGAAAGAGAGTCTCTGAGAAGCAAAGATCTGAATGGCTTTTTATTTTTTTTAGAAAGAGATTAAGTTTTTCCCAAGAAAGCTTTTAGTTTTGGGGAGAGAAAGACCACCAAGTTTTCCCCAAACTTCTGTTCTCTAAACTTTGGCTTCATGGCCAAGAGGAAACTAATTCTGATGCTGCGGTGTTTCCAGACAGTGGCATTGGCTGCAGAGTGAAAAGTTTTATTTCACCTGCATTTGCCTCGGGGAAAATCCTTTCCCTGCTACTTGGGACCAAAAGCTTCCCACAGGAATCTTTTTCTCCCTGTTTCTTCCTCTGATTTTTCCCAGTTTGCATACATAGACCCATAGTTAGAAAATTAAGGACATAGTTCCTCTGTCTTGCTGCTTATCTTATTCTAAGTTTTACTAATGCTATATTTGTACATCCTACTTTTCTAAGTTTTTTTTCTACACTATATTACTACACTCTACCTTCCTTATTCCTCATAGATAGAAGTTTAAGAGAGAGAGAAAAAGAAAGAAACCTAGATAGAGAAAAATATACTCTCCAGGCTCACTAGGGCATCTTCTAGCCCCTTTCACTCCTGAAAATAGATTACCCCTGCTTTAATTTCCATAACCAAAAATGTCCTGACTTCCCACGGGGCCCTCAAACCCTCCTTTTGCCAAGTCTCTGGACCCTGTTTCCAGTGCCATTTGAGGGAGACCTGCTCCCTCTTTTTCCCCCAGGGTACTCTTGAGGAGGGAGAAGTGAGAAGTATGTAGATAGAAGTATAGAGGAGAGAGACAGATAGAAAACATAAGACAGCTCGGGAGGGCCTGGGTCAAAACCCACCAGTCCCTTCTGTCTCTACTAAAGGGCTTTGAAAGGAATGCCAAGGGGTGGAGCAAAAGACATCCCCCAGCACAGCCAAGTGCACACCATCCAGGATACCTGGTAACCACACACTGGTAACCACGTGGTCAAGCCATCCCCTAATGCAGCCCTGCTGTGTAAAGAAAGCTCAGATCTAACTAGAAAATCTTTGTGAGCTCCCACACTGGGGTGGGTGAGAAGACATGGGTGGTCATCATGCACATGGCTCTGTCTCCTCCTAAGTAGTGGTTTGTAAGTTTATAAGAGTGGTAGTCCCACATTCCCTTTGTTCCTTTTTCATTGATTTATCTTTATAATCTTGCTTGGTCTACCTATAATAAGAGTTCAACAATAAAAACTATGCATTTCACATATAATCTCGTCTGAGAACTACTAAAGTAGTGGTAGATTGTTAATTTCATTTAAGAGAATTTGATGGTGTCTTTCTAAGGCAAAGACAAAATTTAGAAATCACTTGTAGATAATTTTGAAAAGATTTGTTTAGTGTGTGTGTGTGTGTGTGTGTGTGTGTGTGTGTGTGTGTGTGAGTTACATGTACCATGTGTGTGCAGGCGTGTGAAGTCAGAGGGCATTGGAACTTGATACCTTAGGTGGTTGTCACCTGATGTGGGTGTTGGCAACCCAACCTGTGATCTCTGCAAAAGCAGTGTGTGCTCTTACTGCTAAGCCATCTCTCCAGCTCCCTGTGGAACAGTTTAAAGCACTCTGTGGATTGTTTTCAGAATATATAAACTGTAAAGCTCTTCTACTAGAGAAAACCAGAACAAGGAGAACCAAGGGAAGGAGGAAAGGAGCTGTGTGCTTGTGGGGACAGGGAGGCAGAGGCAGAGGGGATGTAAATTAAGGCCCTAGAAAGGCATCATAGCAGCTTGGTTAAAAGAATGCACACTGCCCTGAAGAGCTAGAAGTGTTGGACCCACATATCCAATAAGCTGGTGGCAACACTGTCAGACAAGGCCTCTTCCTTCAAGGACATCCACACTATCTGCCTCTGGGACCAGGGGCACTGGAGAGGAGGGATAAATAGCTCATTAGAAAGTCTGGTTCAGGGGCTAGAGAGATGGCTCAGAGGTTAAGAGCACTGGCTGCTCTCCCAGAGGTCTTAAGTTCAATTCCCAACAACCACATGGTGGCTCACAACCATCTATAGTGGTATCTGATGCCCTCTTCTGGTGTAAAGGTGCATGTGCAGCTAGAGCACTCATATACATAAAATAAATAAATCAATCTTTTAAAAAAAACTCAGAAAGAGGCTGAAGATAAGGATGAAGCTCAGATGCAGAGGCCTGCAGCTCCCAGAGTGTGTGCTAGTTAGGAGAAAAGCAAACAGTTCACAGGAGACCATTCAAACCCCTAATAAAAGAGCTAGAAGGTTTCTGGCAAGTCAGGTGATAAACACAGAAACTACACCCTGATTCACATTACTTGTTGTCTAAGTTAGGGTTTCTATTGCTGTGAAGAGACACTGTGACCATGGCAACTCTTATAAAGGAAAACATTTAATTGGGGCGGTTCACTTATAGTTTCAGAGGTTCAGTCCTTTGTCATCATGACAGGGAGCATGATGGCATGCAGGTAAAGGTGGTGTTAGAACTGAGAGTCCTACATCTTGACTCAGAGGCAACAGGAAACTAAAAGTCACACTGAGGGAAGCCTGAGCAAAAGAGACCTCAAAGCCACCCCCACAGTGACACACTTCCTCCAACAAGGCCACACCTCCTCCAACAAGGCCACACCTCCTCCAACAAGGCCACACCTCCTCCAACAAGGCCACACCTCCCACTAGTGCCACTCCCTTTGGGGGCCGGTTTCTTCACAATGCCACACTTATTTTTTTTTTAAGATTTATTTATTTATTTATTTATTTATGTATACAGTGTTCTGCCTGCATGTATGCATGCAGGCCAGAAGAGGGCACCAGATCTCATTACAGATGGTTGTGAGCCACCATGTGGTTGCTGGGAATTGAACTCAGGACCTTTGGAAGAACAGCCAGTGCTCTTAACTGCTGAGCCATCTCTCCAGCCCCCGCCACACTTATGTAATGCATCCAAATGTATTTTATGTGTTTTTATTGTTTTAAACTATGTGTATATAGGTGCCCTCAGAGGCCAGGGGCACTGGGTTTCCTGGGGGTGGAGTTACAGGTGGTTATAAGCTGCCCAGTGAGAGGGATGGGAATCAAACTTGATCCATCTGCAGAAGCCATGTGAATTCTTAACCACTGAGATGTCTCTATGGCCCCTGAACTTTTCATGTTTTAGCTGGGGATTGAACCTAGGACTTCATACATAGTAGGTAAGCACTCTTTCACTGAGCTAGAGCCCATCCTCTTTGTGGTTTTTTTACTATTATGGTAGTCTCATCTTGAGACAAAGTCTCTCAGTGGGACCTGGGTCTCACTGGTTGACTTGCCAGGGAGCTCCAGGTATCCCCGTTTCCACCTCCCCAGCACTGAGATGACAAGTGGGTACCATCACCATGGCTATTTAGCATGAGTTCTAGGGGTCAAACTCAGGTCCTCACACCTGTGCAGCAAGCACTCTACTGACTGAGCCACCTCCCCAGCCCCTTATCACTTTCTTTTGGTGGAAAAAGCAGTATGACATGGTTAAAAAACATGGGAAAAAGAAATCCTAATTCTACTATATCATCATGTCATGCAATCTTGAATTGATGGAAGGTGCTATTTCTTTGTTTGGGGGTTATTAACTTAGAACACATATCAGAAGCTGGGTTTGTGGCACAGGCTGCAATTCTAACTATTTGGGAGGCTGAACCAGGAGGATCATGAGTTCAAGGCCAGCCTGGGCAGTTCAGTGAGACCCTGTCTTAGAATAAAAAACATAGCAGAGGTTACAGCTCAGTGGTAGAATACTTGCTTAGCATGTCTGAGGCCCTAGGTCTCATCCCCAGCTTTCCCACCCCACATCACAAGAATATAAACTATGGGGGTGATCACTGAGTCAACAGTTATAATTTTTATGGCTCTCATTTACATGACTTTTACCTTTAATGTCACACTTCTTGGTTTTTCTGGTGAAAGTTCTTGAACTGGGTGAACTCCCAGACATGGCAGGATGAATCCAGTATACCTAAAAATGTAGACTAAGTTAAGAAAGCCACAGTAGGCCAGGAGATCACAGTGCCTCCCTAAAGAACAGAAAGGGAACACTCTGCTTTGGGGACTATGTTAACATGCCTTTTCCTTCTTGATCTTTCTATTTTCTTTGAGACAGGGTCTCACTAAGTAGTCTTGGCTTGCCTGGAACTCACTATGTAGACCAGACTGGCCTCAAACTCACAGAGATTCTCCTGTCTCTGTCTCCGAGTGCCAGGTTAAAAGCATGTGCTATCATTCCTGACTTTCCTCATTCTTTTAAAAAACAATTCTTTGATTTTATTTAAATTGGACATAACAATCTTTCTTAGCAACTCTTTACAATCTTCATTAGAGCTAGTGCAGAGTCTATGCTTTGGTTTCAGCACTAAGAAGGCTAAGGTGGGAAAACTGCTTGAGTTCATGAGTTCAAGACTGGCTTCAGCAGCCTAAATTACAAATCTTAACTGAAGCAGCACCAGAGGTGGAGAGGTGGTTCAGCAGGTAAAGCTCAAGGACCGGAGTTCAACTCCGCAGACGGGCAGGCATGGTGGCCTGGAGCTCAGCTCCCCAGACGGGCAGGCACGGTGGCCTGGCTCAGCTCCCCAGACGGGCAGGCACGGTGGCTTCCTATAACTCAGCACTTGGGAGGCAGGGGATCCAGGAGCAAGCCAGGATAGCTAGACTAGCCAGAATCCGTGAGCTCTGTGTTTAGTGAGGTAGCTTACATCAATAAATAGAGGAGAGCCATCAAAGAAGACACCTAATGTCAGCGTTGGGTCGTCACATGCCCCACCCCCACACATCTGCACACAGATGTGAACACCACACACACAAAAGAAGACGAGAAACAACAATCACCTTTCTGAAAGTTGCATAATCCTTTCAAATTCTCCTGCATGTTCAGCAACTGCTACAAGGGCCATAACATTAGCCTAACAAAAAAAAAAATAGAATTCCAAACAATATGCACATTTGATATAAATTAAGAGAAATGTTAAAGTTTTCTGTACATTTCCTATTCTCCTTTAGTAGGCCCCAGTAATACAATCAAAGTGACGACCACTGAGTACTTATTATTTCAGGCCCCATGTTCAATGACTATAAATGTCACTTCATTAACCTACACAGACCAGAGGTAGGCATTGCTTTAATTCACTGGACAGAGACAGCATTTTGGAGGGAATCAAGGTCGTTAGGCTCATGTGACTCTACAGCCCATGTGTCAGTTAAGCTGCCTGCCACACAACAGTGTGCAACTATTTCATAAATACTTCCAAGATTTTACAATTTTTTATTTTTCAATTTTATTTTTACTTATTCTCTCTCTTAGTGAACATGGGTGCACAAGCATGTGCAGGACATGTATGCCACAGTAAGCGTGTGGGATTCGGAAGACACCTTCGTGGGGTCAGTTCTGCCCTTCTACCGTGGTCCCAGTGGTTGAGCTCAGAACTTTATCCACTCCGCCATCTCTCAGTCCTTGCTAACTTTTTTTCTAACAAATCAAAATGTTTCAGAAGACTTTTGTAATGTATCCTAGATCTCCAAAATAATGTGAGTTTAGGAAGTGAGGGGCTGACCGCGCCATCCATTCTACAGAGCTGCCGTACATGGTGGCAGGTCAGAGTCTTGTGTCTCTGTCACTTCCCTGGCATGCGTCTCTGCCTTGTTCCTAACCTTTAGACACGAGAACCTTCAACTATCAAATGGAGAATGTCAATGAAAGAGGAACTTCCTCAGGAGGTGTGGAGACTTTAGAAGAGCTGACGTTAGCAAGGACTTAGCTCTGTGGCTGGCATAGCCCATGGAAACATGGAGCATGTCTAAACAGTACCTAAAAATAGTATGTCCAGGGAAGACAGGAGGGGCGCAAAAGGGGGGCAGTAATGGACACTAACTTACCTTTTTGGCTTTCTCCAAGACAGCATCCAGATCCTACAACAAACATAAGCAGCCACACTTACTTTACATAGGGAATTAACTGCTCTTTGGCCATATAAATGTAGCTGAGATATCATAAAGGACAATAGTGTTTCTCCCACAGGGTGGCAGAAAATGAAGTGCCTCCCCTGACCCACACTCTTACCACACTGTACAACACAAACCTCTGCTGAGAAATACAAAGGACAGGTCTGTCCCACCTTACTCTCCCCCTCAGCAGCTTCTAGACACCCCCGACACACACACACACACACACACACACACACACACACACACACACACACACTTTGCTTTTAAAGTATCACTGTTTCACTGGTGGCTACTCTCCAGTCTCCTTGACTGACTGTCATCTTTATGACAAGCTCTTCTGTTCTCTCTGTACTTGTAAGAGATCTCATCTGTCTTCTTTTGTTTATCTAGCGCCCTCAGTTACACCACACCTGTTCTCTACCATTGAGCTATATCCTCAGCCTCTCGTGGGGTTAGGTAGCATGTAGAATCTCCAACTTACCTCAGTTTTTACTCTCTCCTGAACCTGTGACTCACATTCTAAATCACTACATAATCATTCTATTTGCATGAGATCAGACATACCAATACGTCCCCACTAGGGATTCTATCTGCCTGCCTCTCCACTCCCATCCCAAACCTTGATCTTTACTCATCTCAGCAAAGGGCATCACCACCTTAAAACACAAACTAGAAATCTAAGCCATGTCCATTCCTTCTTTCTCCTTGCTCTTCACATCCAAGTCCCCTGCATGTACTGTTGGAGTTATTTTTAAAATACGATGAGTACATCTACTCTGATTCTCATGATATCACAGCACTAGCCTCTACCATCTTCTGTCTGTATACTGAGACTTCTTAAATGTTGTAGCTTTCTCTCCTTCACCTTTTTGCCACACAGCAGATTTGTCTTCAGAATATTCTGTTTTTCTTTCTTAAAATGGGTTGTCTTAAAACTTTAATGGGTTAAAAGTGTGCATCTAAAGCAATCCAAATGTCTTACTGACTTACCTCTCCTATACCCTGAAAATCTCCCTAGTCTTTGAAAATTTTATTTTATTAATCGCTTCCAGCTGTTGGTTAACTAAAAGAGGCCAAATTCCATACTGGATAGGCGTCTACAACCTGCCGGTGTTCCTTACTACCGCACACTCACACCATAAGCGTCACCTCCTAAGAAATAGACAGTCCACCCTCAGTGTCTCCAAGGTAGCAGGTAAAACCTATTTCCACCCCTACACACACGCCCCATCCCGTTTGCCCCTCTCCGGGTCCAGAACTGGGACCTCTGCTAAGGGCTCGGATGGAGCACATCTCAGGAGTGGTAAGAGAAAGGACTGTTGAGACGACAAACACAAGCTTCGTGGAGATAGTTTACCGCTGTTTAAGATCAGAAAGAACACCAGGAGGACGGAGGTTCAAAGGGAAACCGGTCAGGTCGCCATAGACTAGGTAGGGCCAGAGGGGTTGGGGAGAAAAGATAACTTTCAGGAAAGGACTCCCGACTCCCGCAGGCCCCAACTCGCCCTCACGTACGCTGTTAAAGTCCGGGGCGGAGAGATGGCAGTGACAGTCCACTAGCCCCAAGCCCACGGGACCCACAGCCATTTCTGCAGACTTCCCAACCGGAAGCCGGAGTGGAAGCCCGGGGCCGCGGAAGCCCGAGCGGAACTATGAGCACCGGGGGATCGAGTTTCCGGCCGGACGCGGACAGAGGGGCTCCACCGAGGGAAGCATCCTTCCGGTCTCGACGTCACCGCCTCAGTTCAAACCGGAGAGATGGCGGGTATTCCTGAAACGGTGCCGGTCTCTGCCTCGCAGGGTCAGGATGCCCGGACCTCCTCAGACCCCCAGGCCTCGGCACCCGCCTCTCCGCCAGAGGACTTCCGAGTGCGCTGCACCTTGAAAAGGGCTGTGGTGGAAGTGATGGAGCTGTGCGGTCGCTTCGTGCAGGAGCTGGGGGCCGCGCTGCCGGAGGACATCCGAGAGCTGGCGCTGCGGGACGCGCAGTGGGTACGGACCGGGCCCTCCTTCCCGCCCCTCACCCTACTCTGCCCCGCTCCGCAGACCGCAGGGTGCCCCAGGCTAGCCTGGGAAATGCCGGGGAAGGCAACTAAGATGCCAGTGCCACTTGGGTGCTTCCTGTCCACTGGACATACAGGGCAAGCGAGCACATACGCAATCTTGAAAAACAGGCGGCATGAGTGTGCTCATATATTTTAATACATACGGCACTATAATATATAAGGCATCATACTAAGGCTTTCAAATCTGATGGCTTATGTCCACAAACCGTCTCGTTTGTTACTTGCCGTAGCTTAAGTGCTCAGTTAAGTACAAAGTGGCTCTCCTAGGGACCAGCGCATGTTTAGAGTCTGGTACGAGGAATTCTCCAGGAGCCAACAGTCCTCAAAGTCAGTCACCTGGCTAGTTTTTTGGTCTTTGCTTTTGCTTGTTATTTTATAACATTGTGTGAATGGAGCAAACGCATTTTACTTTAAGTCAAAAACAGATGAAAACGCTGTCTTGATGTTAAATTTTACTAAGGCCACTGGTTGAGCTGGACATGGCAGTGTACGCCCAGCACTTGGAAGGCAGAGGCAGGTAAATCTCATTGAATTCCAGACCAGTCTGGCTCACACAGTGAGTTCCAGACCAGCCAGGGCTACATAAAGAGACCCTATTCCTCCTACCCCATTGGCCCTTATAACCCACTTCCCTTTTCACCCATATTTTGCAAAGACCCTGAAGTTGATGGTTTCTGAGGAAAGACACTAGAAGTTGAGGGATTGCTGCCTCTCTCTTGAACAGTCTATATGTAGGGGAACGTCCCAAGCTTGTACTGCAGCACATCTGTGACCAAATGACAACAGTACCGAGTAAACATAGACGTTATCAGTCTCAAAAAGCAGAAATGAGGAGGGGCTGGAGAGGTACTTAGTGCTGAGTGTTCTTGTAGCATGCACGAGACAGAGGTTACATGAAGGAATAATGAACAAACCTTCCTGGGATTGTAATTCTGTATTCCAGTTTTTGTACCGCGGCTCCTGTTATTCCCTCCTTGGAATCAAGGCGAGAAACAGCTCGTAACATTTTTAGTAGTTATTTTGGGAGACAGCTGTAAATAAGAAGGCTTGTCTGATTCTAGAAAATTGCTAAGATGCTTAGAACATCAACGCACAGAAAAAGACCAATGTGGCTTAACCTCTTATATCCTATTGAATGAGATCTTAAAGACAATGAGAAGTAATGGTCTATAGAGAAGTTTTGACGATGTTGATAAATCTCTGGGTAAAACTGAATAATGTAGTGGCATGTTCTTAAATGATTGGTGTAACTGCAGCAAGGATTTCAAAGACAGTTTGTATTCACATTTAATCTTCGAGAGTTTAACATCGTAAGAATCTTACTCTATAAATTTTTTTTCTCCTTTAGTGCCTGGTATTGAATGCAGAGCTTTGCTCATGCTAGCAAAGCATTGCCCACTGAGCACATTGTAGCCCTTTTTATAAGATACTAGTATAGAAAATGTACTGTGACTCATAGTTACCAGTCATTTATTTATACTTATTTTTAATTATGCAAGTGATACAAAAGACATGCTCATTAAAAATATTTTCAAACAATAGCATTTATTAAGCCATCTTTGAATTCCCTGTCTGTCTGAACCCCTCTGGAAATAACTTACGATTTTGGAGACAGGTGGTGGAGCCTAACCCCTCTGCCCTTCTTTACAGTTTCCCCCTCTGTGTTCTTGTTTGTTATTTATGTGGTCATGCTGATGAGATGTCACTGGTAGAGCTGGTGCAGTACCATTGTGTGGTAAGGGTATTTAGCTTTCTCCTAATAGTTAACTTGGATTCAATTTTTTTCCTCAATTTTTCATTATTTCCATTCTGTTCTATAGAGATTCTTTTTTTTTTTTTTCTTTTTTGTTAAAATGTTTGAATTCAGTATTTAGAATCCCTTTTGCTGACTTGGCTGCTGTAAATGTATTGTAGACTTTTGAGTCGGCTGTGCAGGAGAATGTCAGCATCAATGGACAAGCCTGGCAGGAAGCTGCAGATCACTGTCTTATGGGTATGTGGCTTCTCTCTTCTATCATTAATTTCTGAGATTGTTTTTGCAGCTAACTTTATTTTGAATGCTGTTTTGCAATTTCTGTTTTTATTGTCTCTCTGTGGTGGTTTGAATAAGAATGGCCTCCATAGACATATATATTGGAATTCATAGTCATTGGGGAGTGGAACTGTTTGAGAAGGAGTAGGAGGTGTGGCCTTGTTGGGGGAAGTATGTCACTGGGAGTGGGCTTTGAGATTTCAACAGCCCATGCCAAGCCCAGTCTGTCTGTCTTCTCTTTGCTTGTGGATCTTTCTCTCTCTGCTTGTAGCTCTCAGTTTCTTCAGTGCCTGCTTGCAGGCCACCATGCTCCCTCCCATGATGATAATGGCCTAAGCCTTTGAAACTGTACACAAGCCCCCAATTAAATGCTTTCTTTTATAAGAGTTGCCTTAGTCATGGTTTCTCTTCACACTCGAACAGTAACTAAGACATACTCTCTCTTTTATAAACAGTTTATTGGATGGAGGTGTGCCTGTCATGGCACACTGTGGAGGTCAGAGCTTTCAGGAGTTGTTTTTCTCTTTTCACCATGTGGGCTCCAGGGATCAAACTCAGGTCCTCACTCAGGCTTGATGACAAGCATTTTAACCTGCTAAACCATCTTTCTGGCTTCAGTATCACTTATTTTAAAACACATTTAAATTGTTATGGGATAAAAAGAAGAAACTAATGTAGATCATTGAAGTCATAGCCCAAGAGAAACTTGGGGTACCTTGATCTATCCTGTCTGATTATCTGGTGTCTGAAAATGTCTGTCATCTGTTCTTCAGAAGCTTCTGTCAGTAGGCTGTTGGAAGATATTGTAGAATTATCCCCAATTAAAGAAATAGGCCTAGAATATCCCTGTGTTTCCTCATAAGCCAGGTTTATGTTTTTGCAATGCTTAGATGATACTTAGAATGGATAGTAAAGTGTTCTTAGGTGTAAAGTTAAACCATAGGGTATTAACATTTGTAGATGGCTTCTTAAGACTTTTAGCTTATTCCAAAGACTTGATTGTACCTTTGTTTGTTTGTTTGTTTGTTTTTTGATACAGGGCTTCTCTGTGTAGCCCTGACTGTCTTGGAACTCTGTAGACCAGGCTAGCCTCAAACTCAGACTCACCTGCCTCTGCCTCCCAAGTGCTGGAATTAAAGGTGTGCGCCACCACGCCTGGCTTAGACTTGACTGTACCTCACCGGTGCTGGCATGCCTAAAGAAGGCCAAGTGTTGATGGAGAGAGAAAGCAAGGTCAGAGCAGGAAGGAACCATCAACAGAAAGGGAGTGATCCGCTTGAGAAAAGAGGCAGGCGTCCCTGTCTGCAGTACTGTCCAGAGAAGGGCTCCCCGACAAGAAGCCGCGTGTGCCGTCTGTCCCTCTGTAACACTACTCAGGGCTGAGCCCCCTTGCTGTCACTCACTGCTTGTGTTCACGTTGTCCAGTCATTTGAGCTGATTGCAGGCCTGCTAGCAACTCACTGTGACATAACTTTTCTTCTCAGCGGTAAGGGAGTGCTTTGCCCAGAACATTTTCTTGTCTATTACCCGGGACTATGTTAGTTGTCCTTTTAAAATTATCAAAACAGAGTTTGGGTTTACGTATTAAAAGGATAAAACCAACAGCATCTGTTTTGTAAAATATTAACACAGTAATTGCTGATTAGTAGGGAATGTATAAACAATTAGCCAGAAGTACTTTCTACACCACATAGCTTTTCAGTGGGTCTTTATTTGAAACAAAACGTTATACAAAAAGGCACAAGGGAGTGATATGTTTGGAAAGCCAGCATTGAGCTGGGAAAAGTAATAGCAAATGTGTCAAGAAAGCGAAGTTGAGGAGAGATTACCACATGCCTCAAAAGTGTTACAAGGGATTTGTACTTTATCGTGTGGTCTTGGAGAAATCATGGGAGTGGTGTGTGTGTGTGTGTGTGTTAGTGCTGGTGAACGAGCCTATAAACTCACGTATGTCAGGCCAAGTACTGTATCTGTGCTATAAAGCCCAGTCTTAGGTGAGGATTTTAAGGAGAATTACGTGACTAGATTTAACAGGCTTTGTTTCTGGGAGGCTTCTCAGGGACAGAGGTTTAACCTGCTTTGTTTATGGACGTCCCAAGCTCCTGCACACAGTACCGCTCTGGAAAGAAAGCAGACTGTGTGTGAGGCAGCGTCTCTCCCCCTGTTGTAACTGCCATGGATGGGTCTGATCACAGGAAGTTTGGTCAGACAAATTTGTAAGGTTGTTCCTTGAGAGCAGAACTCTGTTTTCAGAATTAGACGCTCACCCAATATTTGTCCATTTGTTTATACGTTGTGCTTTTACAAAATCTACCCCTTGGTGGCGCTAAGAAACCGTTTTCCTACATAGAAGATTTCACTGACAGATGAGATGGCTGAGCCCAGACAGGGGCTTGCTGTGCAGACCCGGGCAGAGGAGGAAGGAGAGAACTGACTCCAAGGACTTGTTCTTTGACCTCTCCACGCATGCTTGGCACATGTGCCCTTCCCCCTCACACACACAGTTTTTAAAAAGAACGTTTATAAAATGCTGTGCTGGTCCTCGCAGGCCAG